AACACAAACCTGATTATTTTGGTTTTGATTAGTTTAGAGTAATAAATGGTATCCATAACGTTTGTGGAAAATAATTACTGTAGTGGGCACTTTAGCACCAGTTTTGGCTCCCAAGAGGACCCATAAAGGGGAACACCGTTTTATTTTACATTGGGTCCTTGATTTTACGTTATCACATCATGTTCTACTCACCCATATTAGTTTTGTGTCATTTGGAGCCGTTCTGAAGATATTCAGTTTTGTTATATCCACGTAATGTCTTCCTATGGGCAACTAGTTGAAGGCACAAACTAAACTGCTCATAATTTATCATTTATGGTACGCCAGCATTCATAACAAGTAGGTGAATCACTGTCCCCCAGACATCCGCGGTTATATTTTTTATATTTATATTTTTTTTAAACAAAGCGGAGTGTGTATAACAAAACCAAATATCTTCAGAACTCATATGGGTAAATAGAGCATGATGTAATAACGTAAAATCAAGGGCTCAGGTTTTGGCTACTGTGAGCACACTTTAGGATGTGTTTTGGCTCCTAAAAGGGAACCACACTTTAGGATGTGTTTTGGCTCCTAAAAGGGAACGTGTTTTGACTCCCAAGAGGGCAGTTTAGGAGGCGTTTTAGCTCCCGAGAAGGCAGTTCAGGATGTGTTTTGGCTCCCAAGAGGGCAGTTTAGGAGGCGTTTTAGCTCCCGAGAAGGCAGTTTAGGATGTGTTTTGGCTCCCCAGAAGGCAGTTTAGGAGGCGTTTTGGTTCCTGGGAGGGCAGTTTATAATGCATTTTGGCTCCCCAGAGGGCAGGTTAGGATCTGTTTTGGCTCCCAAGAGAGCCCTTAATTAGAACATGTTTTGGATACTGTGAGAACATGTTAGGATGTGTTTTGGCTCCTGAGGGGGAACTTTAGGATATGTTTTGGCTCTTGAGAGGGCAGCTTAGGATGTGTTTTAGTTCTGAGTGTTAGGATTCCAGTCTTTGTGGTTTGTGTTTTGTGTTTGTCTTCCATCCTCCACCAGGCGGCACCTGATTCTGGTTCGCCTCCTCACACACCTGCAGAGGGTTACCTTGTTAAAAAGCCAGAGTGTTTGCCAGTTTTGGGTACTCTAGCCAAGCTGAGTTTTGCTGAGTCAAACTGAGTTTTTGTCTAACTGAGTCTTAACCTCGTTGTTTTTGTCTTTGCCTCTCGGCAGGAAGTCATCCTGCAACTGAATGTTTCGGACCTTCTCTTCCCTGGAAGTATCTTGTGAGAATCAAGCTGAGC